CCGCAGGCGCAGCGCGTATAGGGTGGCCCCCCCCCCCCCCGGCCTAGCGCCACGCGAGGCCCTCCTTTCTCGCACGCGTGCCTGGCGCTCTCTTCGGCTCTCTCTTCCTGTATTTAGAGGCCCGGCCCGTGGGTCGGCCCGGTGTGCCGCGCGTCTCTTTTGCGTGGGTCGGTGCGGCGGGGTGGGGTGGTCTGACGCGGCTTCAGGGGCCCATCTGCGGCCCGCCTCACTCCCGCTCGTTCGAGCCCCAAATTGGGGAGGATGGGCCTTTCATGGAAGGGGGGGATGGGCCTTTGGTGGGATGGAGGGCGATTGAACCTGCGTCACCGTCTTCACCGTATCGCCTCAGTATACTTGTGTATGTCATTGCCAATCGATTTTTTATTGCCCTTTTGGCTCGCGGCCGTCAGTTGTTTCTTGGTGTGCCCTCTGCCTTGTAAACTCCCACATCAAGTTCCCGGCTGGCTGATTTAGAAATTCCAGGATCAATGGGTTTGATGCAGCGTGGCAATCCGGAATCCGGACTTTAATTTACAAAGCGGCTCGCAATAGCAGCTGGCCTCCGCCATGCGTCATGCGGCCGCCGCATCCGCAGCTGCCGGCCCGCTGCCAGCAGCCGCCGGGCTGTTGCCCTCAGCCGCGTGCGCCTGCTTCTTGCGCCGCTGTCGCTGCCGCCGTCGCCGCCGCCGCTGCTGCTGATGCTGCTGCTCCTGCTGCTGCAGCTCTGAGCTCACGGGTGAAATGGTACCGCTGCTGCCGCCGCCGCCGCTGCTGCTGCTGGGCTCGGGCCCAGCTGCACTGCTGGCTGCTGGCGCTTGTGCCGCGGCCGCTTCTGCTCCTGCTGCTGTGGTCGCTCCTGCTGCTGTGGTCGCTGCTGCTCCTGTCGCCGCTGCTGCTGCTGCTGCTGCTGATGGTGCTGCTGCTGCTGCTGCGTCTGCCCCACCGTGCCCCTGCTTGCTGCGACGCTTCTTCCACCACTGCTCAGCACCCTGCCCCGCCTCGCCGCCGCCGCCATCGCCGCCACGGGCCCCAGCTTTCCGCCGCCACCACTGCTTCTTCTTTTTCTCACCCTGCTGCTGCTGGTGCTGCTGCTGCTCCGCGCCGTCGGGCCGCTGTCCCGCCGCAGCCGGCCCGCCCAGGGCCGCAGGCGCGTCCGCGCCGCCATCCCCCGCGCCCCCGCCGCAGCCGCCGCCCCCGCGGGCGCGTCGCTGCTGCAGGGGGCGCCGCGGCTTCTGTAGTGTGAAGCAGCCGACACGCACCAGCTCAGCTGGCGTGCGCACCTCCGCACCACACAGCCCGCATGGCTCGGGCCCCTGCGCGCCCTTGCCCTGCGCTGCTGCTGGCGCGACCGCCGCCGCTGCGCAACCCAGCGCCGCCGCCGCCGCCGCCGCCCCAGCCGCTGCGCCGAACGG